TGGACGAGGGGGGGGGGGGTGGAAGTGTAATATTTCGTGGTGGCTAGATGAGACAAGATATGAGGGTTGAATGTAAATTTGTTTTTTACTATATAAATTTAACAGTCTCCCTATTTAAACTTTATTACACGAACCCCTGGGGAGGTGTACGATTCGTTTGAAAATTATCAATAAATTGTCAATATAGTAATATTCATCCCCTGCGGCGGAATCTCAATTTCATCCCTTAATCTACATTCTGGTGCAATAACTGTTGTTTGCAGCTGTCAATGAAATTAAAATATTTTATAAGGGGTAACAATTAAATACTTCTTCCCTTATAACTTTCGGGGTGGTTTTGGGTAATTAAAAATTGGCGGTGACGTCGACGCTAATTTAAAAAAAATTTTTTTACAGGTCGATCTTACCTGCAGAAACACAATGCAGAGCGTGGGTGCCATTTATACACGGACTAATTTTGTCACCCTTAAATACGTAACCGATGCGTGGGGTACGGATACCAATGGTTTCCGTCTTGTGATCACAGCTGTTAAAGATCCCAGTGAGTATTTAATTGCACTTATTACGTATATATGCAAATACATGTACTGTAGCTGTAAGTAGTTTGCACTAAGGACGTCTTTGCTGGGGTTTTAATTAATTACGTTTATATTAATTAATTCTTCATAGGTTCGCTCGAGGCTCTACAATAATAAATTACCAGTGTTTTTCACTTAGATGCTTGAAATATCAATGCCTGTATGTATTTGGGATATACGTGTTGTTTCATTCGAACAAATTACTGTGGCTAGGGTCCTAGGGAATTTTGGGTCTTTCCATCGAGGTAGACGAAATATTTATTCAAATTAAGTTAGACCGTTATGAAAATAAAAATAAATAAATTTATCGATTTATACAGTCTTTTACGGTTGGTATTCATCCAGACAAGCCGGATCGGTAGAGTTTTCAAAGACGGCGACAAAACGCCCTTTTCAATCCATAGGGACTTTTTTGTCGTCGGGAAGTTCAAGCGGAAAAACCCGAGCGGATTTTCCCGAAAGATCACGAATAAAATCCCAAGGTGATAAATTGAACGGCATGAGAAAACGGATTCGTTGGATAGCAAGAAGACGACGCTCGGCGTCGTTTCGACGCTCCTTCCATCTTTGCACACGGAACATAGAGGAGTCGTCCCCCTCGTGGATTTTTTCTTCTCCACTTTTTCTCCAATTTCTATACCATATTTCTCTAGCTCTCTCGTTCCCACCTTCGATTTACAGCACGAGACGCCAGCGTACGTATTTTCAATTTTCATTTTCAATCGACCAGACGCCGTTTTCTTCGTGTTCAAATACTTTTTTATAACGCGCCGTTGGAAACGTCTCGAAGTATCTGCATAAACCCTGGTGATTTATACGGAAAACAATTCTCTATCATTTACCCCATTGACACTGTACGTCAATTTGAACGATTTTTCTAAGCGTCCTTCTGTTTCAATTTTTTAAAAATTCAAATCCTATTCCCTTTGTCATCTTTTTTTCGAATATCATCTAACTCTGTTATACAGTGAGGAGCAAGAATGCCTTTCAAAATAACTACTGGAACAAACTGCTACGATACTTTTAATAGGGAAAGCATTATTACTCCCTTGTGTAGTATAGTACAATATACTATACTATGAATGTACTATACACTATAGTATACGAAATCCAGTGTATAAGCTATAGTAGGTACACACTATATAAACGCAATACAGCTGTATGTTCCATAGGCTAATCCATAGTCTCTTAGATTCGGACAATCCGAAACTCAGAGTCTGTGTTGCGCGGTCGCCCCTACTTCCAGTAGTAAAGTTCACGTCTGAGCCAGACACGCCTAGTAGGCCTTTACCGTAGCCCGATGGCTTCGAACTTTGAAACTAGTGACGATATCGAGTTCTAGTTTCCACCGCCAGGATTACTCTTTGCCCTTTTTTCTTCGCCGTGTTATCCGCTACCCACAATAGCTACAGGAAATAGAAAACGTCTGTCAGGAACAAGGCAAAAAAAATACCCAGGGAATTTGCAAGTCCCATTTTTAGCAGCTTGTTAAACCTCACGGAAATTTTAAACGAATAAGGCTGTATTATACGAAATCTTTAAAAATTTATTATATTTTTGAACTTTTTTAAAAATATTATTTTACTCAACATCCATTTCGCGTGCATCGTGATTTTACGTAATTTCCTACGTTCGACTCTAGTAAAATTAAAGAGTCAAGACGACAAAAAATAATAAAGGTTCATTCATAAAGACATCGCGTGCTACACGTCCGCCCGGAGGGATTGCAAAGGGTTGGCAGTGAGACTACATAAAAAACACTAAGAATACACGATAGAGAATAGGGGTAGGGAATACTAGTGGGGTTGTTCTTGTCCCATCTAGGATATAAGGGATGACTGTTTTTTTTTGTTTTTTTTTTTTTTTTCGAATTCTCAAACTTCAATGCGTCGGCAATTTGAAAGGATGCACGGTAGACAAAGTGCAGCCGTTCCCTGTGACATATAAAAAAAATGCGACCTGCGAAGAAATTACAAATAAATCAATTTTTTTTGGTCTCGCACCTGTCACAATTCACAGCCGCCGTCGGCTCTTCAGCTGTTATCATTATTTCCCGCATATGTGAAAATTGATGCAAAATATTCGTGCACGAGGTAAAACCATGCAGAAAGTTTACGAGGATGCAATGCATATGCAAATAAATGCATTAACTCCTACGTATGATAACAATGGAGATTTGCAGTATATAAAATATATATGCTGTTACATAATTACATATGTGCATTATCATATGTAATTTTCAGGAAAATCCCCAGTGAGCCTGTAATATATGGAAACTGTGTACATATGTAAAAACAATCTATATATATATATATATATATATATATATATATATACACATATATTGAATCCAGTTGTATTAATTCTGACGTCATCAGGTACACGTAGCCATTTGAATTTATTTGAATAAAGCATCCCTTTGAATATCAACCCTCAGGCACAAGTCCTTATTCGAGCCCCTAATTTTCTTGTGTGGAAATTCAGCTAATGGCAACAATCTCGTATACGGATCTGTTATCGTTCTGTACGTTGCCGGCGCAATTGTACGTAAAATCTTTTGTGTCCCATTTACAGTATAACCGAACCGCCCCTTATTCATCGTCCCTTGCTAAACTGCGAGCGAACACAAAGCGCTGAATCGTTTCGGCCTAATTGTAAAATCTACGTCGTTCCTAGTTCGAGTCTCGTTGTTTCTATTGGTGCCCACCCTTGGCACGTGGTGCCTATTTCCCATGTGTGTACTGATACGGTTAAATGTTATTGGGCATGTGTAGCTGTGTACATACGGGCCAAATGTGCAATGGGAACTTATGGCGTGCAATACAGATGGCGCTGATAGCGTACAGGTACATTCACACACGTGTTCACTAAGGTACCTGTACTTTACACATACCGAATAAGGGTTGTTTCACACACGAATAGTACGACACGCGATGTCTCTTTTTTCCCCTTCATTTCTACGCTGATACTCCCCGTTCGTTTACCTACGTTCACATCGGCCGATAATATCTGTCCGATGTAACGAGATATACGAAGGTGGGATTTGGTTAATTAACGTCAATTGATGTAAATTTTATTTATTAAAAAAATTAACTGTAATTTTCGTCCATAGACCGTACAAGGGAAAAGATGGCGAAGCGAATTTTATAAATTTTACGTATGTTCAAATTCGATTTGTTCGTAACGGAATTTACGTTAAAAAAAATATGGAACAATTGACATAGTTTTGAAAAAAAATAAATAAAAAAAAAATATTTCGGGATGTTTCCTGAATTATGAAAATTTCTAGAGAAACTTTCATTCCCTCGTATAATATACTTGTCATTGTTATCGGACTGATTCTAATGCCGGTAAAGCGTATCTCTTTTCCGGAGGGCAGTTACGTAGTAGAAAGGGTGTATTCGGGTGCAGTTCTGACGATACAAAATTAAGGGACGATTAGGGCAAATTTTTCAAATCAGCTGGTAAGATTACTTTTTCGTTCGATCTTGGCGCTGTACGACTATGGGGACTCGAAGATTTCAACCCTTAGATATGCTAACCTAACCTTTTCGTTGGATACGTACTGCGCATGCGCGTAACGTTGCTGTAGAGTGTTTGTATTGCTCAGTGGTGCGGCACAGTAAGTTCGCTGTCTCGTAAAGGAATATTGCAGCACGGAGTGTAATTGAATTAGCTCGAACGCACTCTGGGCATCGCACTTTAAGCCATAGTCGGTGTGTTCTAATTATGTATGTACGTGTATGTATCATCAATTCCTACGCACGGTAAGTTACTTCCGTGTCTTGTGTGTTACCATCGGCTTCACTGTCTACGTTTCGCGCTCTCTATGGTTAATGACTGTTAATTCCCCAGACAAATTGATACTGCATCTGCGTGTTTGCATAAAGCTTGGCGCCGTGTTAAATGATTTGGTAATCCGTAAAGTCAAACATTGACACAACGTATGGGTAACTGGTCGGTTCGATTCCGGTTATTCCGCTATTACGTGTCCGGCGACGTTTGGAAGTGAAAATCTGACCGCAGATTCCTGCCTTACCGACGGCACAGTTTTAGGAACTTTCTTATTTAGTTATCTGTATTGCCGACTCAGGCTTCCTCGCGCTTGGGATTCTATATACGATAAGCGTGAATTAGTCTTAGCTGGTGGATTTTATTAATTCCGGGGAATCCTTTGGTATCGTAGGAAATAAATATTTACCGTTTCTCTGGAGGGATGAATTTATAAATCCCTTTGACCATTAGACTGCCGACAAAGTCCTTTTTGGGATTTGGGATAAACTAGAAAATCCTACGTAACGTATGTTTTTTATATTCATAAATTTTTGGCTAAAAAGGTTTTCACTAATTTTTTAATAAATACCGGCAGTCTGAAGGCTAAGAAAATTAAGAGCGTACAATTTTTCGTTATTACATTACCGAAAATTACTGGCATTTTCTCATTTTGCTTGTTATGCAATTGCGATACCTCCTTTTCGATGTTTTATCTATATATTCTAATCATAACGACTCTTGACATGATTTACTTTTGCACGATTATCAAAATAATATTCTGCCGCCATTTAAAAAATCGAGTAATCAAGCTTTAGTTATTTAAAGAAAATGCCACATTTACACGTGCGAAGTAACTTCAATTTGTTTGAACGTATCCACAGTCTCAATCAGACTAGTTCAATCGTATCATTTCCTTAAGTTATTTTCCTCCATATCATTTTCATGTTCCACCGGCCACCTAGCGTCGTCCGCTACGTACTACTCCTCCCGTCGTATAATTCTTTCAGCAATTCCTCCACCAGTGCAAAAGAGACCGAGACAGAGCGTAACCAAGTTGCATAGAAAGAGAGGAAAAATGTTCCAGCACTCAAAACCTTTAATACCTATCGTTTAAGCTCGACCGACTGCTCCTCCAAGGACTCTTGGTTTAAGAGTTACCTAACGAGTCAAGGGGTTTAATATAATTTCTTTCTCCCTTTCGCAGAACACACGTGCAAGGACTTTAGATGCACTCTGAAAGAATTCTGCATCCATACGGATCTCGTTTGCGACGGCGTCAATCATTGCGGCGACGGTTCGGACGAGGCGGCTTCTACGCTGTGTGCCAGTAAGTCAAAAATACATACGACTACTCGATAAGCACGCGATAGCGATAATTAATCACACCAGAGTCCAGTACCACAACTTGAGCAAGAATAAGAAAAAAAAAATGTTCAAATGTCATAAAAAAATTTGAAATAAAAAAAATCGTAGTTTAGCAAAGAAAAAAAAAATCTGTCGATACCTTTCAATTCGGCATCATTATATAATAATAATTCTATACTATTATCGATCAATATAAATACCTTTTATCGCCTATCGTTCACCGAACCTAACCACTTAGATTACGCAAACCTTTTTCGCACTGCATCTTCCACTCAACACTATACCTATATACCAAGTAACAATAGGTACACTGTTCATCATTAAATATCATCATAATAACCGTACGAGCAACGCCAACTTTATACGGTACATCTAGACTGCATAAGTCAATGTATATATACATATATTATTTACCTAATACGTGTATCTATATTTTTAGACACGGAAGCCTTCACCATTCTCGGGATGGATATGACGTGGTTCGCGGTCGCCCTGGTTTCATTGGTGCTCAGTATGACCGGCCTGGTAACTGCAGCTGTGTTCTGCTTCTGCAGACCCCGTGCAGCAACCCCGAGGCATCTCCATAACGCGCACAACGCACAAGCTCATCCACCAGTGAGCTACCCATGTGAGTGACGTCACATACGTTCATACGTTTTTTTTTTCACCGTATAAAAAAACCACCTACGTACCCGCTACCTTCGCAGCTGATCGTGACGAGGCTCTTGCCTCTTTTTCTTTTACCCCTATTACGGTCAACAGCTTTTACACCCTCGTGGCGATTAACGCACGTGCTCCCACGTATCCCAATAACATCCTTAATTGCTTGTCACACGTATGACGCGGTCGTCACGTTCAATTCTTAATGGACGCTTATTACGTCACACCCGACGTCGTCCCTCGAATGCTGACGCCCGGGCATTTTGTCAGCACTTGCGAAATAGGGCTGGGTACCATTGACGCGGGCGTCCCGACGCTCTGGCATTTATGCGTCGCTATCTGATATACCTGCCGGTGGTGGCTGGTTTATCGGGGATGGGTATGTGGGGTTGATAGCGAAGGGGTTGAACAGCCTGACGGCTTTACGTGGGACTGATGGATCACTGCTCTTGTAATTGACGGGTCAATGAAGGATTTATGGGTCTTATCGATACGCGGTTTTTTTATTATGGGGATTAAAAAATAAAAAAAAAATTTTTTTTTTTTCGACTACCTTGCCTCGTTTGGATACCGTCGCTTTCTCGGGATTAACGGGGAGCTAAGAGTGGCGAAGAATTATGGTTTGGAAGAATGGTAGCACTGCTGGAATTTAATGGAGCGCATCGACTGGATAACGGACGGGGATGGTCCATTTGAAAATTTATCGAGTAACGGTAGTGGAGATTTGCTCGAGTGCACCCCTTTTTCTTCGGTAGGGAATAACTCTTGGAACGGAAATTAAGAAGTGTTTCCTAGTGAGAAATAATAACGTGGATTCTCGTTGATTTGTCGTCTTGGCTTTGATTGTCAATTATTTACGTGGCATGGGTGAATTTTTATTTTGAGTCCAGGTGGGTAAATTTATTAGTTTATTTTTATTACGTATATACGGTCTTGGTTTTTTTTTTTCGGAAGAAAAAAGTTAATCGCGACTTTAAGGGACTTCATAGGGAATTTCTAGGGAATTTTTTCAGGGTTTATATACGTCTTGTATATCGTTCGTGAATTTCATGCGTGCACGTGGGTTTATTTTTTATATTGGACATAGACGTCAGTATGTAACAATACTTGGGTCATGAGAGTCGAAAGCGTAATGCCTGTATACTGTATATACTGTATAGAGTATATACTGTGTATGGTATACATGTGTTGTGTACAATAGAGTATACGGCACGGAGTGTACAGTATATAGGTATAGTGCATAGCAGGGGTACGAAGAAGCATAGTAAATCGACTCGGCTCGGGTTTCGTGGACTTTGGCCCGGTTCCAAAAGAACATCGGTGCAGTTGTCGAGCGATGTTTTACTGCAACGTAAAATGTAAATGCGCTGGAGGAATTTTTTAGTTTTTACGATAGTCACGGAAATATTAAATCTACATCCCAGAAGGATTCCGTACGTAATTCTAGTTTTTAGCTAGTCCTTTTTCGCCGGATCCCTTAAATTTTCTAGGCTGCTCGAAACGTTTCAAAAATTTTATATATCTCGCGACCTTAATACACGATTGTGCATTCGTCACGATCAATCCTGAGGCATGGAATTGTATATCGATTTTCTCATAACAGATTCCAGCCTTACCGACGCATATTTACCAATATACAAATCGACTCGCGGCTATATCTCATGTACTATCATTTGTCTAGATATTCCTAGATTCAGAAATTGGTAGTGACGGACAGTTGCTAATTAAATCAAGGAGGGCAGCTGCGTACGTGATTCGAAATCTTAAGCTGCAATCATATCGCGACTACAATTTTATTGTGCTTAAGGATTTTGATTAATTGCAAACGATTCGATCAAGTATACACAATCTGTTTTCTTGTATTTGCAAATTGTAGGTTAGCGATAAGCTATATCCGTATCCATAAAAGATCGTTCGACATCGTATTGGCTAATCGCTAATTGCTATGCGAAACATCCATTATCAGTCATTAATTCGAATTCATTGATAAAAATTGTTGGTTAATATATATTCTACTTTCTTTGTGTGTATAATGGCACTTGTAAAAAGTCATTATCGTGATCTAATAATGACTGTATAAAATAAACACAATCTTACGATTGTACAAACTAACTTCAGATGGTACCTGAATAACCATAGGTGGATATACGTATTAATATATATAAAATGAATATCTAAAAAAAAAATATTAAACAAGACTTAAGTAACCTATAAACACTACGTATATTTCTATATACATACGTCTGCACTTGGGAATGCAGCATTTCCTGAATTTCCGTAGAGTGAAGTTTTTTGCCGGGAAATTCAAATAGTATATTCTGCCAGACGACGTCTTATGGTAGGACGATGCGCAAGATGTGCAAATCAAATATTTGCCAATTTTACTTCACGTCTCAACAAACAATATTCGCGCATGACTCGTTTGGTCTTATCACATGATTTTCATCAATTGGCAACGTTTCTATGTTACATTAATATAGATATATATATAATATGAGTTTATGTTCAAGTACATATGTACTCCACGCAAAGTTACCAAGATTTAATTAATTGTATGTAATATTGTGATTATTTGATACGATTAGGTCACTCGACCCAATATATATAATCGCGAGCATCGGCCCACTGACCTGAGCCGAGTTTAGCCGACGAGCGCCGAATGAACGTGAAAAGCGAAAATCGTAACTTCGAAAGTTCATAGCGTTCATTTATGAGCGACGCGTTCTTATGCTCACTTAACTTTCGCGGGAATTTTGCACGCCGACAATTCGACTATGATATACGCCTATAGTCCGTATACGATAATTGAAACCTTCGGCCCAGTAAAAAAAAATATTTTAGAATTATTTTTAAAAAATTTTATTTTGACAACTTCGTTTCGTTTAAACGTATATATATATATATATATTATTTTTTACGAATATTCCATACAATGAATGTTCTTGATAATTGATAAGGATAAGGTACGTAATACGATGTGCTTTATTACACGTATGAGACTAGGCTTGAGACAACTGTACATACATTTCGCTCAATTGACTAATATCTGTATGCGTCTAGAGTCAATTTAAGATTCTGATATAATAAAACGTGTTAGTTTAAAGGACGAATTGGACTGTAGAAAACATATGGGATGCGTCTAGTGTAATCCGGCCGAGGCTCGTACGCGTGACCAAGACCGTGACACCGTGGACGGCGTGGGCCGTCTAACGGAAATAAAATTGACCAAAGACTGCTGCTCGTACAAAGAATAGATAACAGTGATAAGCCCATGTCGAGTTAAGGACGAATAAACCATATACGAGAACAAAGAGAATTATTGGAAAAGATTAATCCAATTGAGCAACAGACGGAAAGTAAATGAAGTGAAGTTGTAGCCATTGGTTGAAATTGATGTCAGTGTACGACGTCTTGTTGTTCGACAAACATCATAAAATCAAGAAACAATTGAAGATGCGGCTCAGTCTTACAATCGCACGTCAGTATCAGCCGTCGTACGGATATCACGTTCAATTTAAATTTCCGTGGTTATGAAAGTGGAATCGAAAGTTGAAATATGAAAGAATTGTAAACAGAAGGAATTTACCGGGAAAAAAAAAGTCGTAGGAAAAAAAAAAAACGAAAAAAAAAAAAAAAAAAAAAAAAAAAAAAAAAAAAAAAAAAAAAAAAAAAAAAAAAAAAAAAAAAAAAAAAAATAAAACTAGCCCATTACGTGAAAACGTAGGAGACAGTAGCTCGGTGTAAATAATAGAGAAGGTTTAAAGGTGCCTACGTAATGCAAAAGCTGCTTATAAATTCAGTCGCCGTACGTACTCGAGTGCTCGCAAGTGTTTCCCGGTAGAGGGTAGCGGGGGCGTGGACGCCGGGAGCCGCAGTGACGACCCGGAGGACGACGCCGACGTCGGCCACCTCGTCATTGCCATCGCGCCCGTGGGCAAAGTCGGCCAAGAGAAGACGTCACGTGCCGTGAGTGTGACATCCGGTTTAAAGATTTTTGTAAAAATGTGTCAGGCCGGTCGATACAATCGTGGGGTACTGATCTTGCTGAGCCTGTGGATGATCATCCTGATTAGCAGTTTGAAAGTGATAAGATCAGAGACGACAGTGACGAGCAACGTTGATTCGACGGGTGCACGAGACTTTTTTATTGGTCCTTGTTTGGTAAAAACCATTCGGACCTGTCCGGACGAGGAAGTGACGTTTTTCTTGTACACCCAAAGTAACCCAACGGAATCTCAGCAGATCAACGTCACCAGTAACAGCTCGAATCTCATCAATACCCACTTTGATTCCACCAAGCCGACCAAGGTGATAGTGCATGGCTACAATTCGGATATGCAGCTGGATTCGCTGGTGGCTATAAGGAACGAATACCTGAAGAGAGGCCAGCACAACGTGATAGCCGTCGATTGGCATCGTCTTGCGTCTGGTCCTTGTTATCCGGTAGCCGTTCACAACGTGCCCCACGTTGGCGAATGCTTAGCCCAATTGATAAGACGCCTGCGCGACACCGGAGCCGTTGACGTTCACGTGATTGGATTCAGTCTGGGCGCCCACGTGCCCGCTTTCTCGGCAAACTCATTAAGACCCTACAAGCTGCCCAGAATCACGGGTCTGGACCCGGCGATGCCGCTCTTCGTCACCGTGGGCAAGGACCAGAAGCTGGATGCTGGAGACGCTCAGTTCGTCGATATCTTTCATACGAACGCCTTCATACAAGGGAAGATCGAGGCTAGTGGGCATATTGATTTTTACATGAACGGCGGGATCAATCAACCCGGATGCTGGCAGAAGAGGAACCCCTTCGGATGCAATCATCATCGAGCTGCCGATTATTTCGCGGAGTCCATCAATACCAAGATTGGATTCTGGGGGTGGCCTTGTCCTGGATTTTTTGCTTATCTCTTGGGTCTCTGCCCACCTAGATTCCCGGCCGTGCAGGCTGGCGATCTTGTCGATCAGCGGTACAGGGGGTTTCATCTGGTCAAGACACGCGGCCAGAGTCCTTTTGCTCTTGGGATCTTTACGGTTGACAGTATGGATAGGCGTTAAGGAATTTTTTTGGAAATTTATATGAGATTGCGCGATTTTTTTTTTTTTATTGGCCGTTTGGTGGAATCTTTTGAAATCATCGGACCGGAAACCGGTGGAGATGACTGGGCTCGGTCATTATTTGGAAGTACCTAGTGAATCTGAAAAGTAACTTATCTTGCTCATGATTTTTGCTCAGTTCGTGTATTCTTATGCTGTTATCAGTATATTTTTGTGTTCAGAGGAAGTTCTCTGCCGGTTTCTATCTCATTAACGGAACTGATGTTGCGGTTATGATACTTCATTGCTATCTTTGAATATACTTTACTCGCTGGTTATATGGAAACATCGTCCTGTGATAATGATAAGGAAATAAATAATTTTAACAAAACTTCACGGACACGGTTCGATGCTTATTTCGATAGGGTCTTGAAAATACAATTGTTAATTGACCAGCATTTATCAATTATCGAATATCTCTATCAAGTGTAAATATGTACAGAGCAGAACGAGGATAGGACAAAACATTTAGATATAGTTAATTCCTTTTTTTTTTTAATGACACTGTTAGTACTATGCAATAAACTTTACTTGTAAAAGAGACACCAATCTTACGTATAATTACTTGGCTAATAATGGCTTACGTATAGTTACTTCATAAGAAAGGAATTTTACTTTATTTAATTCCTTCATTCTTTTTAAATAAAAAAATTATATATTCCTTTATCATTATTAATTTACTTTAAAGAATTCATACGAACAAAAATTATTTACATTTAAGCTAATTCGCCCGACATCGAAAAGACGTGTTTCATAGAAATTTCATTCATTTTTATCGTTCGGAGGCTAAGATACATCGAAAAAAATTTATCTACTTTAACAAGCCTAGTATAGGAATATAGGAATTTTTTGGCTACTTCATTCCATGTATCCCGAAGACTGCACGGTAAATAACTGAAATTTTTCCACGCACGACCATTAAGCATCTGCTAGGAACATATACAAAATTTAGATCCGTATCTCGGAAGTGCTCGAGTGCTCGAACCACCTTACCACAAATTAGTTTAAGGCTCATTTACACGATGTCAAGGGCACTACTTTGACGTTCAAACCATTCTCAGGCATCATGGTAAGTGTGCCCAGAACTAATTTCACCGGAAATTGAGTCTCAGCGCACCTCTCAGCCCTGAAGTTCGTGAGGAAGGAGCAAAGTGACAATTTTATACTCAGCATGGCGAAGCGCATACCTTAAACAAAAAAAAATGAATATTGAAAATCTCTTGAATCTTCACTTACGGTACAGTGAGGTTCATCGATGCCTTAGAGTGGGGATGCTGGACGATCAGTGCTTGGAAACAGTCCCCACCACTCCAGGGTATCAGTGACTCTCGGTGTACAGTAGGGATTAAAGATGCTTTACAAGTAAACAAGTAGTGATTGAAATTGATTTTACAATAAAATAAAATTGAACTACTTCTTAATGATCCTATATAAAAATGTGACACCTTGGAATAATTCCCGTATTGATTGATCGATTTATCAAGATAATATTATTTTTTTATATTATTTATATGAGATTATACTTTGAGTCGTTCCTTTTCGAAACTTACCGATACAAATTCTCGGACCTTCTCCGAACGGCATGTAAGTCTGTGGCTTGATGTCAGCCTTTCTTTCGTCCGAAAATCGATCGGGATCGAATTTTTCAGGTTCGGGAAAATATTCGGGATCCTTATGCATTCCCATAATTCCTACGAAGATCGGCGTCCCCTTCTTGATCACGAAATCCATATCGGGCACTTTGTAATCCTTCACGCATATTCTGTTTAGTATCGGCATCGGCGGATATAACCTAAGCGTTTCTGTAAACAGAATCGATAAATATGAAAAATCAATAATTTAACAATAATCACGAGTGTTACCAACGTAAATCCTTGATTCGATACGTCACTTATTTATCATGTTTTTTTTAAGTATCAGTAGGGATGAATACATGTAGGAATTAAGAAAAATTAATTCAGGAAAATATCGGTATGGTTACGGTACGATTGAAGCAAAAAGTGGATCAAAATACTATCTAGCTCGAGACGAACGCGAATATGGGGGAGGCGCATTGACCCAGTACACAAGAAGCAAATATGGCAGGCAAAGAGGGGGTAACAGCCGTCTTCGAGTTGAATGATAAGCCAGTCAGTGATTATGCGTCCCAGCTTCAGGGTCAAGAAGAAGGAAGCTTGGAGCTTGACCTGATTCAGGATGCCTCTTTATTCTCCCTATGATAAATATTCACGTTCTCTCCGCCTTTTTTAATTCCTTCACCGTCCTGTACGCGGCGCTAGTGGTTTTCTGCCTAGCTCGATCCGTAAGCCTTAAACGCATTTTAAGGACGCTGAAGACTACTGGCGCCACCTGTGGCGAAATTTCGAAGAACTAGCCGACCACTTCATACCGACCTGGTTGTTATTATCTAACGTAGACGCAAAAGCGAATATTCAAATTGATCTTCATAATCAAAAAGGGCCTAAACGTTCTATGAAGATCGAGTTACCAACTACTACTAGTCAGTCACTACTTTTTCAGTGCTATAGAAATTTACAGGGTGATTTTGGGCTCCTTCGCCTTCACTATGAAGCGTTGCGAAGTGGATGGCTGACTAGGTTAGGTTAGGTCCAGGTGGTCGGCTGAAGATCATAGTCGTAAACATGCCCAGTGTCGAGTCGCTGTGGAGGAAGAATTTTTGTCGGCGGAACCATGGCAACCATAAGATTGGACACGGTGAGGTTTATTGATTCCAATTAATATTTACCTTGTATGATGCTTTCTATGTATTTGGCCTCTGACAAACTCTCGTAAGTGAAACTTCCGTATTTTTCCTTTATCGCCATTGCCTCCTCTCTTGCTCTTTCTTGTATTTCTGGGTACGCGGCCAGGTAGTGTATACAAAACGACGTTGTGGTTCCCGACGTCTCGAATCCAGCGGCGAAGAAAATAAATGTCTGTGCCACGATCATATCGTCTTCGAACTCTACCGTTATTTCCGGGAAAAAGAAAAATTTCAAATATTTAATTGTACTCGAGATTCGATATAATTGGACAATTTTTGAAATTAAATTGGTGGTATCAATTAAAAATTATACTCTTACATTAAGAATTAACGTCTCGATAAAGTCATCTTACTCACTTGATTCGTTACGAATTTTCAAAAGGCAGTCGACAACGTCACCACGCTTGATTCCATTCTTCTCGCGCTGTTTGATCGAGTCCCAACATAAATTTCTAAAAAAATTCGTGGTAGATCCTGCCAATTGCACCCTAAATATATCTATAAGTTGCGGTACCATGAAATAAATGGTTATCTCAAGCAGACGTTTGATTTGGTTATTAATTAACTTATTGGCATTCTCTACGATCGTACAATCAGGATCTCGTATGCTATTTGCTTTTATACCGAACATACAGCTGGATATGACTTCGATAGAACTTCTGAAAGAATATTCGAAATTAATTTTGTAAATGAGGAAACTTTTTCCAAAGACCCGCTATTGACCCTATACCTCGTGTATAAATCCTTGAGTTCGAAAGTGGCGCCATCTTGGCCACACTTCTCTTTGTAGTAGTCCGTCAAACCGTCGCTAATTTCCATCATGATCTGATACACGTTCCGAAGTTTATTTCCGGTGAAAATCGGCGAGAAATGTGTCCTCAGTGTCTTCCAGTGTGGATTGTTCGTCATAAAAAGATTTTTTCGTCCGACCGGATCGAAATCCCCATCCCCGCCGCTGTACCGGTCGCAAAAATAATTGAAATCCTTGACCAGGATATTTTTAATGAGGTCCGGATCTCTGATCAGAAGACTGGGAGTCTGCAGCGCCCATATGCCCACCATGGGATGACCGGCGCCTCTCTCGTACATATTTTGACCGAAGAGTCCAGTGGGTACTCTTTTGATCAAGAGCTCGTCGAAATTGCCCAATAATAAATTTGGCTTGATATATGGGATTCCATGGCGTTCCCAGTACGACATATTGTATCGCAAGTAAAGTACCACACTGATAATTAACGTGACCAGCCCCAGCAGGAGGTCGAAGTATAAGCTTAAACCAAACAACATCTTGCCTGCTGAACTGCACGAGTTAGACTGAATAAATTTATCGGTAGACACTTGACTTTATATAATTCGTAAGAGCTAAGATTACTTTCTGCTACGTATATTACCAAGTCATTTTTGGATCATAGGTCACTATGTTCGAGACGTAAATATTTCTGGAGATATTGAATTCGAATGTGGAGCTACGGAGCTGGAGGAATTTTTGGAGCAGGAATTACTAGGAATTAACGAAACATAAATATGTAATATTTGGCAGGTGGAGCAACCAGTCCTGTAGCACAGTGGTAACAGTCTGGCTTGGCAACCCGAAGGTATCGGGTTCGATCCCCGATCGGTATAATATATTTAAATACGTATATGTATATTATATAGGGGAAAGACGTCCGAGACGGCATAGCGAGTGGCAAAATGTGTATAAATTCTCAGGTACTTTGTTCTATGTGTAAAATACGGCTTGAATGACGTATTCACCAAAGATAATAATCTTTCATTGAATTATAACTTAGGTAAGAAAATGTCTTTCCTTTAGTCCCGAAATTCGACTGTCAACCCCTTTCGGCTTGTTCGCTCGAATTTTCCAGGTGGCAGTTAGCAATCTTTCCAAGGGAGATTTCATCGTTCCGGATATTCCACGTGCCTTTAATCATTGACGTAGATACTCAAACAGTCTCGATTATTGTTTCCAGCCAAAGTAGTTTACACGAACACAGACGCCTAGCGAGGTCGAAGACTCTGTCAGAGGCCCCCAAACAAATTAGTATGCATACCGGAGATGAGTAGGGAGATTGTCAATCAGCTGATTTTCATGGTCCAAACTGGTTCGGGAGATTCCTCTAGGTGGCGCTGTTCAGTGCCTTGGCCTAGTTTCGGGAAATGCCGCCAGGGGGTCTGTTTTATTATCTACTGTTTCGAAGTTTCGCAAGAAGCATTTTTATTTAGTTTGAAGTTTCAATGTTTCTCTGCAACTGTTTTTCTTTTCCTTCTTCTGCTCGCCGGTTATCTGAATACTCGTGAATCGCGAAGGTTTGAATATTTGTTCTACCAGTAGCGGCAGAGATAAGTGGTGACATTGCCAATGAGTCGAATTTGACATTTGACGTCATTCCGTGATATTACGGTTAAAACCAAACGCGAAATTACTTGAATATTCCTTATAGGGATATTGAGCCCATAATTCTCAGACGTTACAAGCAAATGTACAGTATGCCTACTTCTACTTCGTAAACGTTATAAGTATATTTATACAGATATATATATACGCCTATATACATACGTATATATTGTGGCCTTTATTCACTTTGGATTTACGGCTCATAAAAATAAGGCGGGTTCGAGCCGAAAAATTCGGTGAATAAAAATAAAAAATGAATTTGGCGGAAAAACGAATAAATAAACGTGAATTTTATTGACAGAAAAAAGATAGCGATATATACTTTCCTACGGAATCCAATAGTGTCAGAAGGTATCCAGTCTAAGTACAGCAGGCTGCTAGTAAACAGCATTAAATAGTATGAAGAAATAATAACTATGAGCGGCATCCAGAAATTAATAGATAAGTTATGTACGACGTATAAAAATTTGGTTACTTTTGTAAAACAAAGTTACTGCCTGTTAAACGTCCACATAAATCATGAAATTTTCATCGGGCCACCATTGGCGTCGCGTTGCCTTATATTTACCGTCCGATACCAACCCGACAGGGCGCAGACCTCGTAAACATGCCAGACTTTTCCATGCTATCCAGACTTCTCGCTATTTCCAGGATATTCGATGCATCCCTTATTTCCTCCGTAACCCACGGAATTCGATAGCCCTGCGAGTGAGAAGCGCGAAATTATACAAAATTTTATGACAGCCACTTGACGGGAGTAAAAATGTTAAATGATCTTTTGGTTTGAAAAAAAATTTATTTAAATAATACCGAAAGGGGAAAAAGAAGATGAGAAAGAGACTTCAAGAGAATGGTGTCGTACGGGTATAGGATTTGTCAAAGGCTCGGGGCTCTTTTATCGTTGGATTTAATACAAAGCTCTATGGCCCATCTTTGCTACTTTCTACTCTTGGCACGATGTCTCTTACTCTATTTTGAAAAGCCGCCTTAAAGCTCTTCTTTCTGACAAATCCATTTGACCCACATCTCTCTATTCGTATAACCTATACCTAGCCCCGTATTCTTATGTTAGGTCATTGCTTGAGATGATACATGGTCATTAAGACCATAGACACGTAATCTTAATACATGCTATGGGATGGCTTAAAATTATTTTTGAGACGAGGAACTTATAGATATGGATTCTGGATGACACTTTGTTCTAGGGCTACAGGACGATTCTGTTTGACTTTTTTTGTGACAGATTTGACAGCTGTCATCTGTCACTTTGATCGTGCATAGTTGGGACTGTTGGTTGGAATTTCGAAAAATGCATAACAATTTTTTACAGTAGGTTATGATTTTTTTGAAAATTCGGGTGGCAAGACTTATTACAAGCTCAGTAAATAATATGTGCACTTCGCTGATGAAGCCTATGAAATTTTGATTTTGCAATAGAATTTCAGTTAACAGCTGATAACTTGAGTGTACATTGAGTTTTCACAGTGACTTTACATTTTTTTTTTTTGTTTCTACACCGAGATAATACGAATAACATTTGAGTGATAAGAGTATCGCTGTGATATATACTTACCAGTCATGTAATAGTAATTTACGATACGAGTGCGAGAAAGCGAACTTTATAAGCAGGCGGTGAAGTTGGTCGCACGAGCCGCACAAGTAACACAGCGGCACAAGCCGAAAGCGAGTGCTGCTTGCGGTACGAGTGCGGCGAGTCTGACAAACTTCACGACCTGCGTGTAATGTTCGCTTTATTGCACCGGTATCGCATATTTCTTATAACGCATGCATGAGAAGTGCTACTTTTCGTGCCTGCAAAGTGAATGCGTGTAATGACAGTGCGCGGATGTAAGCACTGGTGCGATAAAGTAAAAGTTGGGCGGATTTGCGCATGCGCAGTATTTTTATCGGATCCTTAGTTATACAGCGCCACTTACGCCACACTTTGGAACTAGGAGAAGTAGCGCTTTTCGTGCACGAGTTATATAAAGAAAGATACGTATTATCGATTAATAATTACCGTGTACAATTTTCAAAATACTTAAGGGCTTTTTGCTAATATTTATCAAAAAATTTATGTCACTATTCATCAGTGAATTTGAAATTGTCCTGTTGAATGATATTTTTAATAAGGGAAATAAAGTTTTTTTAATTAAATAGGTTATTATTATTAGTGATACGAGTATGTCACACTAAACTTTGTTGTCTCTGTCTTTATCAGTTAGTGATAAGGGGTCAGGGGTTGAGGAAGCTTCAGTTCTTATAAGGTTTAAGGGTGGTGTGGCGGGACTGATGTGCCTGACGGTGTTCCAGTGCAACAGATGTACGGATCGAACGGAGCGAGCGCAGGGATGCCAATGGGGATGACAACCCTAAAGGGCAGCACGGGAATTTCGGGAACACTCGGACCCATGGGGACCATAGGGAACATGGGAATTACGGGGGCCACAACCCTTCCGCGGCCGGGAAACTGGCTGCACCCTGCGGGCCTCAGGCTCGGGCACAGCGCGGCCCGGGTCCGCCTCTACTGCCAGGTAAAGTGAGGAGCCACGGTTCGGACAGGTAATAATAAAAAATTATTAAAAAATTATAATTAATTAGCAAAGTAAAAATCTTGTAAGTGGCTAGAGAGAATTTGTGTAAAAAAAAATAATTAGAGATTTTGAAAAAAAAAAATTACCGGAACGTGTCTGGTATACTGTATATTTAGAAATGGTCGGAAATTGGTTGTGTGATTTTTTTATAGTAACGAAAAAAATCCATTTTCGATTTTATTTATGTCTAACTAACCCTGGGTCGCTATCTTTCTTGTTAATAAAAAAAAAATACTGATATTTATGTCATGATGATTTTTTACCAAGGCGGTATTCTTAAATGAAACGACCTGTCATGTTCTTGCACGCTGCTTTTTAACTTAAGAGACGTTTTCTTCATTCTTTACGATTTTATTTTCTCATTTCTTTTTGCGCAGTGACATCTCCTCCAGCCAAAAGGACGAATGGTTTGTGTAGGTAAGTACCGAGAAGAATATTAATTTTTTTTTTTAAATATAAACAGCAACAAAATTTAAATTAATCATAATCAACCTTTTTGAATTTACAATGACACAGTCAGTTAAGAAATATGAATAAAATGAAAAATACTCATTAGAATGTCAAAAAGTGACCTGAGAATTTCAAAGTAAAGTTAATCGAGAGAATTTTTAGAGACTTTTTTTCTATAATCTTTCCATTCAGTATCTTTTTTTTCCCCTGGTTTCAGAGGCAGGCCTGGACCAGAGCCCGCAGGGTGAAAAAGAGCGGTGGTGCCCTCACCGCCCAAACGTAAATGGCGAAAAAAAAAGTTCGTCATATCCGCCCCTGAACATCTTCGCTTTAATCCAGAATCCAAAAACATCATGTGACGTTAATGTGCGAGCGTAATGATTTGATGCGTTAATTATAAGTAACTTGTCACTTTTCTTTTCTAATAACAAAATGGCATATCAATTAGCAATGAAAAAAAAAATACTATGATTTTCCTACGCAATTAGGAAAATCGACAATAATAATAAAAAAGCACAGATTTTACACACGTGTGGATAAGGTCGACAAAACTGAAAGAAAGAAATACAAGAAATATATAATGCTCAGAAATATATCACGTGATCAAATAATTCCGTGAAATCTTTCTGAAACAAATAAATCCGTACACCTGAAAATATCCAATTTTCAAAATTAACCACGATTTAAGCTAGGACACTAATGACGGCCAAAACGCGGGAAATTTGAAACATAGTAAAAAAAAAGTCGAAAAATTTCTGCCAGTAGACAAGAAAACATATACGTGCACGTAGGCATATACAGAAACTATATGTCCAAGAGGATTATCGATATTGAGCGAAAATGGCGGAAATGATGTAAAATCGAAAATTCACGAATAGCTTTTTTGACGTGAAAAAAAAAATTACATTTTTTTTTTTTTTAATTAAATACCATCCTGCAATATCGAAAAGAGGATTAACATACGTGAACGAGGTGCATAAAACAATTTCAAAAAAAAAAAAAGTGAATGACAGTCAAAATACAAAATAAAATGAAGTCACATCCGTTCATCCGTTATCGACAACGTGTATCTAATTTGTTGCTTAGCCATAGTGACGTAAGCCAAGTGTTTGATGTATTCTGTGAAAAATTAGATAACCAGTCGAATGCGGACGCGCATGCGCATATACCAAATAAGATGTAGTAGAAGGTGAAATTTAAAAAAAAAGCTGAAATCCTAAGACAAAACTATAAGACTATAAAGAATTATGCGAGCTCGATGACGAGTAAGATTTTAAAAAAGCCATACATAAAAACTATAGCTGTACTTGTTCACGAACGCTCGATTTTACATTATAACAAAAAGAAAAAAAATTATTTTCTTCTCTCATTGTAAATCAATTCAATTAAACATACATACTCAGTATTGGTTTAGCGATTACGAATTTCCGCACGCGTCGTATCTTTACTTATTGTAAATCGATTGGCGGGAATAGGATCGACTTTCAAATATCTTTATTAAAGAGGGAGAGCGAGCGAGAGAGAAAGAGAGAGAGCACGCGTGAGTGCGACAAGCGTCGCTACAGCGTACTTTGTAAAATATTTGTATGTACCACTAGCCGTTCAGCTTTGTGCCGTCTCCGTAGTTAATTAAAGCGATTGAATTCATAGTAGAAATTGTAAGGTTAGGATTTGCTATAGTTGAATGAGTGCTATTATAATTGACGATTGACTGTGCGCGCTAGGATGATTCGAATGCGTGATGCAAATGTTATATATATAATAATAACAACAACAACAAGAACAACAACAATAATAACAACATAACCAAAAAGATAAAATTATACGAACTGGATAAACAAAGGATGAAAAAGAAAAGGGAAACTAGCAGACATTGACGTCATGGCGATTTCGAAAATTAAATTATTTTTTCATATGCACAATTTTATGCATATGAAAAAGTGTTCCGTATGCGAATTATCATTCGATTCTATCCGTATTGCCAATTGAGATATTGTTATATGGAAATAATTGCGAGTTCGAAGTCATGCGTGTCTCGTTATCGTCTTGCCTGAGTATTTGAAAGAGATCTGTGAGCGATAAGAAGGGTCAATGAGAATTGGTATGAAAAATTAAATATTGCGGTGGCAGGATTGATAGAACGATTTGAGACTTTCGAAAACTTTGGACATAGACGATTGTATCACGTAGCATGGAATTCTTTCGCATCGATGGGCGAGTATAGTAAAGGTATTTTCAAAATGTAAAAAAAATGACGAGTTTAAGAATCCAATTAAAAGGTGGCTAAATTAAGGTAGAGAGAGAATTGAGGGTGATAGATGATAATTAGGGGGAGTGGAAGGAAAGAATAGTCAGAGTGCATGGCCGAGGGACGTGAAGTTGCGAGAGGTTGGAAAGTGGCGCGCGATTTGAATTGTTTTGTATACAGTGTGAGCTTGGTGTTTGAGATTTGCGATTTTTTGTTTAATTGTATTTTAACGAGAGTGAGAGGGAAGGATGGCTGGGGGATGAAAGGAGAATTTAGATGAAATCCGAAAATCCGTCGGCCGGAATTTGGACACACTGAAGCTAGCATCGAAACTGCCATGTGCTAAGTGAAAAGGAGAGTAGGAAAAATGGGGGAAAGTTAGGGGTAAAATGCGTTGAGGCCACGAAGGGTGGATCAGGGACGAGGCAAAGCCAACCCTGTGCTTAGGCAATAGATAAGACGTTAAGGGACTAATGTCAAAGGTCATCGCGTGAGATTATTTATATTTACTTATTGAATAACGATAATGATAAAATTGATTATCTGCGAAAGAAATGCACGGGGACTCTGTTCGATCGAAGATGGCCGATCCGTGAATTATAGGAAATTGGATGGCCGATCGCGACTGGGAGTTTCCACTCTGACGAAGTGAAAATAATTTATAATATTATTCGGAGTTTTAGGGATTAGTACGTATAGCGATTAGGGGTCAATGGTAATACGAGTATGTAATGCGTATGAGAAGGCTTGACTTTTGCAAGGATTTACGTAGGATTTATCACGACGCAGCGTCGGCGAGTTGGTACTGGATTCGCGATTGGCGAAACTAGTTACGCATGAAAAATTGCGAGGATGCGTTAATTCGTAATAGGGCGCATGCGCAAACTTCACCGACAATAAAGCCAGACAGCATGACGTCTCAAGCTTAAAATCGTTACTTTGGCTTATATTTACCAGATGGTTGGCTGACTGGCTGATTAGGCCAGTCTTTGGTATTTTGTATACCTAGTAATTGGTATGAATAACGTTCGCGAGACCCTTTGAAAATATATTGGTCAATTGACTGGCGTCACTTTGATGCGTTTTAAGTAGTATTCATTAATGGCGGGAAGAATGTATTATTTCAAAAAATTATTTACTTCCAAATGACATTCCAAGTACCTACGCGTCGCTCGCTGTATCTGTGCTTTATAGATTAAGTTTCTTGTAAATGCTTCGTGTTGGTGTTCGTATTTCGTGGGACGATATTCGAATATGATTAAATTATTTTTATTTTTATTTTTTTTTTATACTAAGTCCAGAGCTCTTCTCTGTACGCATAAACGTTTCCCAAGTGGCGTTTCGAGTGAATTTCCTGTCAATTACGTTAGCAATAAATGCGACGCGCTCGAGTCTTTGAATTTTTCTTGTAAATTTGAGTCGGTCGTTTTGCGCGATGCAATCCAGATTAAAATTATCATGACTTACCATGAGAGCCATTCGTTATGGCGGTCGGTAAAGCAGTTTGTAGGATACAAACTGTGGATAATACGCCAGCGGTAGAGGTAATGTAGTAAACTGTACCGGAAATACCATAAAGCCTGTATTACATTGAAGCATTGATGAAAAAACTGCCTAGGACATATCCCAAGAGACGTGACATACACGTGGTCATATCAATTTTTGACTTTTTTTTTCAATTTCCAAACAAAATTATAACGTAACGCTTCCACATGATATACAGTAGACTGATGTTAACGAATGAATTTACACGATGACTGCCTGACCATTTTTTTAATACCACTTTTCACTACCCTTTTTTTTTTTGAAAAAAAATGATAAGGATATCAGGAGACATTTTTTTCCACGTGGCAACGAGGCTATATACTTCGTTCGACATAACGCACTGTTGACACTCGTTGCCGAAAACAAGGTAATCTTCGTGGGCTGGTCAATTGTGACGAATAATAACCGGGAAAGATAATGTAAATTTCCAGATCGACACTTTAGACTTATATAGTTGACTCTCTGTATAATCGCATAAGCCGGGTTTTCAAATATAATAGTCAGCGTGATTACGGAGAGTCCCGAAACCATTGAGATGCTTGGATAAGTGCGAGACGCCTTCCCCTCTCGGCGCAATAGCTTAGAAAGGAAGCTCAGGGGAAGCGAGAATATACGGAACGCGTTTATAGCGAGAGTCGACTGTAATGATGATTGCGTTAGTGCGTAGAGAAGAGAATTTATGCGAGCGAGATTCTCCGTGTAAATAAATTTAAAAAAAAGAAAGAATGCGATAGCAAATGCGTTGAGTAAAAATAAGAGGGAAAAAAGGTGTCGCCTGTTAAAATCCCATTGAAAAAAAAGAGTACGTACATTGAACTTTCATTCATAAAGAAAAATAATGCAAAATGATATAATAAGTGTCAGCAAAGGTGGCTATCACGTTATAATGTAAAAGTATCACTATAATTAATTGACAATTTTTCTGGAAAAAAAAAAAAAAAAAAAAAACCCGTAAACTCGAGCACTGTACACCCGAAGTGCATTCCTTGCGCGAAATGGAAATGACGCAGAATGAATGATAAATAAAAATGATCGCATGCGAATGATCGATCAGAAATCAGATCCACGGCGAAAGACGCGTGCTAATATTATTATCATTTACCAAAATTCGAGTCATAGAAAAATTATAATAGTCAAAGTGGCACGATATCAGGATTAGTCATCAGAATCATTTGATCCTATTGATCGAACAATATGCACCTACATTCCTCTCACTACAGAGAGTAACACCTAATCATCAAATGATCATAGGCACAAAATTTGAAAAATCGATACTCCGTGCCCTTGAAGATCATCAGATCGAATGATTAATCGAACGATTGATCGAACAATACATATGCACCTACATTCCTCCCACTACAGAGAGTAACACCTAATCATCAAACGATCATAGGCACAAAATTTGAAAAATCGATACTCCGTGCCCTTAAAGATCATCAGATCGAATGATCAATGAGAAAATCAGAAAAACCGAATGTCATTTGCACGTTAATAAAAAATTCATCATGTCGACGACGAAAACGTATTACTAGAACCTATTGCAAAAAAATTTTATTAAATTTGAAGAAAAAAAAACCATGCGTCATCAAGTACGAAACAGTGACAAAAAAAGATCATCGAAACTTTTCATAATTTACAATGACCGTAGCGTAAAAAAATTACATATGCATCGCGGGTCAAATTAATAAAATTTTTTTGTAATTCGGGTATCGAATACGTATATAGGTGCTCACGTCATTCTAGTATTGTCATTTCGAAAAAAAAAAATCATGATGAACTGTCATCGTAGATATCATCATACGTGTAAACAAAGTCGTATAAGTTTACGATATTCATACTATACATATTACCTATAAGAAAATGTCCACGTGTTTCCTCATTACCTATGGTAGCTTTGAGAATGATTTCTGCTTTTTCACCCCGCGTAATAATTTTTCCATCATCGATGACGAAAAGCAAAGTGAAAATACGCACAAAAAATTCAGCGATACGACGAATAATTTTTTTTCTCATTATTTCCCTTTTTTCGAGTTGCCCCTCGAGTGATCGAAAAATGTATAAATCATTAAATCCTCCCGCAGGAAATCTCAAAATTACTTGTCGCTAATGACGTAACCGTGGCATTGATGTAAACAATAAGTAATGGGAAACAATACAATAATTTTCATACTGTTTTTACTTTTACTACTATGATTACATATGATTGTAATAATTATTCTTATTGTATACTATATATTTACATACGTGCGTACATACCAGCATACATAATTATATACGTGCATACGCTATATAGTTTAATGATTAGTCACTCTGCGACGGATTCGTTATCCTCGATTATTGATATTCAGATTAATGAGAGCGAGAGAGATAGAGAAGAAAAGGAGAGAGGATAGTGTATACTCATACGAGTATGACTATCGACTAATGATTCTAATGAAAATAACGTATCTCGTGCGTGAATATAGGTGACAAAATATGCCGGATGATTTACGTGGGGAAAAAAAAAAAAACGAATAAGAGACCAAGATCCTCTATCCATAGTCAAGGTACGAGATAGTTAATTCAGCTGTTAACTCGTTGATTGGCATCACGCAAACTTATACACAGTGACACCACAGCTTGGTATAAAGAAAATTTAATTAATTCCGCAGCCTCGTGGATCGTTGGGTTATTTTATTTAACTAAATAATCAACACTCGAATGACAATTGTGCATTTGGAAAATAATTACTAACAGTGTCAAATTATTCAATCTTCGATCTACTTTACCATCCGTGCAACGTTAAATATGACGAGCATGAAAATTGCAGAAGAACGTATCGTGGCCGAGGCTCGTTAATCTTTACGAATATAAATTGCTTTCGGTGTCGATTATTTAAGCTTTTAGAGGCTAGTATCGATTAGGGATGGATCGATCTGCGTAAGAAAAAAATAATAATCTATGGAGACGAACGAAATATCAAAATGACTACAAGAAGCTTGTTGACGACTTAATAAAAAGCATGATGACGAACACTGTACACACGCGAAATTATAGGGATCTAACGATAAAAATCACACTTGTCTCTCCGCGAGGACGAATTAAAAGATTACTAATAAACTTTTAAACGTCACTGGACGATTCCCCATTCAAATTTCCCGCCTTCGGGTCGAAGCAAGATGTGATTATTATTGGTCCGAACGGGTGACGTATAGTGATCAAGGGTCGTGCAATCCTAACGCAAAATCATCCATCGACCTGATGGTACTTATCATTGGACGAGATACCGGACTCAATGTACATTAACGTATGACTGAACGAAGAAAAAAATAATCGCAGGATGCATTATCGAGAAGGGACATTGTTGTCGGATAAACAGAATGAAATTGATAAGATTGAGAAATACGTATCGTAATGTTATCTATTTGCCATATCAATGCCTGTCTTTGCGTCTTTGCATATCACGTGTAACAATAACATATAGACACTATCATCAGGAGTGCATCAGAAAGCCTGTCACTGTTATGGTTTATGAAGAATTTATTTCTGAATAAGACACCCGTGGAAATATGTATTCTATAAAGAGTACAGTGATTAGCGACCAAGGTTTTTGGATTATTATAAAAAAAAATTTTCAAAATTATATAAATAAGATTTCGTTATCGGTGTTACCGTTGCTGATGGTTAATGACTCTTTTTATGTAATGTTTATATAATTAATTTATACAATATACAACACGTGACACGCTCTCAGGTGAATTGCTCTGTAGATAAGTAAAAAACAATAGTCGGATGATTGTCAAGCGCCATGTACCATTATGTACGAAGTACCATGCGAATTACTGTCCAGTGTGAAATTCATCGGAAAATATAAGATCGAACAGAGTTTCGATGATCTTCGTGAAATCAATGTTACAAAAAAAGAAAAAACAATCATCCGAAATTGATGGAAGGAAAAAACGAGTTTCGAGTCGCTTCGTAATATTGAGTATTGACGAAATGAAGTTAAAAGAGAAAGAGGAAGAGGAAATACTAATTATATCCATTATTATCCTATATACCATAAGAACCAGAAAAAAAGGTAACCAAAGCATTGTAACCTTCTAGAGGCGAGTGAGGATAAGAAATGAAAAGTGAAAAAAAATTCATAGCGAAATACCTAATCTTGTATGATTTAGTTCTACCACTGATTTGTCCGTGTGTGTTCGTTACTGAGACATGTTTCTTTAGTAAAAAAATGTTGAAAAATTTTTTGTCCAACGTTTCATTATTACCTATCCAATTGACCAAGAGAGTCGGTCGAGTCTGGCGCCAAATACAGGCAAATTTAAAAAAAAGACATAAGTTACATTTTTATGCTCTTAAATGTTTTCGACAACACAATATAATTTTGTGATTAGCGATAAAGGAATTTATTTACATTTTATATCTGTTACATTATAGATTTGAGTGCTTGGAACTTCTTTGATATATCTCGTTGAGCAAGAAAATTTTTTGATTTCTCCCTGAGCACTTAGGTGTAAAAAGTATGCCGTGTACAGGAGTGCTGTGAATTCCTCTAAGAGAAAGAATTGAAATCATATTATTAATGCCAAGTTCATAAGTCACTATGTATCTGCTTATTATATGATTTAGCACTAGTCCATCATTTTAATTGTATTTTCAAAATTTCCTATAACGTCTTCGTTAATCGTTTATATTATTGTTGTTTCTGATACTTAATTATAATTTAATGGTCATTTAATAATTATTTAAACTTCCGGTGATTCCTTATCGTGTACTACGTGGAATTTAAAAAATTTAGTTCTTTTTTCAACGGTTACCATAAGAGGCATCAGTGTGGCCGTCGGTAAATGATTTTACAGTGTCCAAAAAGTGAATGAGTATGATGGGCAGTTGCTAAAGATAACGTAGTAAACTGTACTGGGAAAATACCATAAAGCCTGCTTCACATTGGAGCATTGATAAAAGACTACTGATAGGGTTATGTACGTTGTCATTATTATTTACTTAGATTCAGAATTATACAGCTAAATAAATAGAGCTGTGAAGTCTTTGTAATATTTTTCATTTGAGTTATAAGAAAAGTAAAAGTCAAAAAGTAATCATAAATGTCATAGACATGCTAAATAGATGAAAATCAATTTTTAAAAGAGACCGCCAATGCACGTACAATTATTATTGATAATACATGAAAAAATAATACGTCGTTATTACGAATTGACATTAGTGATTAAAAAATTACAATAATCAATCTGAGGCATATAAGATTAATTGTCAACATTATTGAATCCTATTAATCCATATATCCCTACCGTTCTCTCAATGCAATACAGACACACTTCCTGTATAAAAACAAAAACCAGGAACCATTATTATCACGTCCATCCATTTGACAACTCATTATTCAACAACCAGCTGCCTACAAAACAGCTCTATAATAAAACGTGTTTAACTCGTATAAAAATAAATGCTTAAAGTGTCTATGCTATTTACCATACAACAAATCCTATGACAAGACTGTACAAATTCGCTTCCAGCTCCAATACACCGCGTGGGCGAAACCTGAAAAGTCTCCGAAATGTGTAAGACCCATAAAGCGTAAGTCTGGGACTTGCCGACCGTGAAAACAATACAAGTCCTATAGTGCGGACCTGGACGGCTGATGCGATGGTAAGCTCATTGCTCATTTGCTTAGGTAGTTCGTCTACCTGGCAGCCAAGGGGTAGATGATGATGTTCGTAGTGGTGTTGGTTATGGTGGTGGTGGTAGTGGCCGGATACAAGTCTCGAGACTCCAAGTAGCACCGAAGCTGGGAGTTCGGTTTAGTTTGCTCGCGGCGTTTACACGGTGCGGCTCACTTTCGTGCGCGAGTTTTCAACACCGAATATTTTTGTTGTCATTACGATTTTTTGTTCTTGCATACTCGTTGCTTTTTGTCGTTCATTCCCGTTGTCGAAAATGCGTGAACAAAATACCTCAAGGCACGAAATTCCTCTACGAGGAACACGTAGGATGTTATTGTGAACCGGCTTTTTTGTTTGTTTATCCGAAGTGAACGACAAGACACAATTATCGTTTGATCTCTTGGGCACAGTTGTGAATGGATTTGTTAGTAACAGCAGGCACGTTTGATATGTTTGTTTAATTCTTTCGGATTGATATCATCGTGGTTACCTTGTCTCGTGTTACGTTGGTACACGTGTTTGTACGTTGCGACGATTTCAAAGGACTAATCAAACGGTGCTTAGTACGTAGTGTATTTTGATATTGTTTACCAAGTGTCTGGACGATTCTGAAGACGAAAAATTATTTCGTCCTGTTATTGTGCTTTGAGGATTTCAAGTTACTAAGAATTGCCAGACATTCTCATACGCGAAAATTGTATTTACAAAAGATCGCGAACGAAGACAAAGGTTTCGTGTCTAATCGTAGTGAGACGAAATAAAAAAGGTAAACTAAAAATGCCTTGAGGTATTCCCGTAAAATCATAAACAAATCGAATGAAGCTGCTATAAATTTCCATGGTGTTCGGTACAATAACGGAAACAGTATCCAAGGATTTGTCAACAGTGCAAAATGACACAAAAAGGTTCGTTGTCGCGAACCTTCTGATCCCCCGCGTAATATCCAGCATGAACATCGTACAGTGAATTAGTGCAGTGTATATAAATGAGTGACAGTGAATAGAAGATCATGGCATCAAGACGTCTTCATAAAGGCGTCGGGACGCTGCTCTCCCTTCTGCTGATTTGTCTCCTATGGAAATGCAACAGTCCAGTCCTCGCAGGTCGGGGATTTAAACATGGCATCAAACACGGTACATAACCTAAGTTTTTTTTTTAAGAACCGTTTCTTTTTCTTCTTCTCTTTCCCCTATTCTTTTCTTTATCTACGTCACCGGTACTTTTTCTCTTTGACTTCGTATCGAAGTCCGTTCAGATTTCCATGTCAGATTAAAGCGTCCGGTTTCGAACTAACTAGATATCCAGTCTCGTCCTGGACAGTGTATTTTTATTTAAGAAAGGACATATTCTTCCTTACGACCAATCGCTAAATCGAGAGGAATTTCATTGAATAAATTTCTCTTAGATTCTATTATATTTTAACTTTCTGCATATGGCAGTTAAACTGTCACTTGTTTGACTAAGTATTAGGGTCTTTCTCTTGGTAATATCAAGCTAGTGACATCCGTCCCAAGGCGACCCGCTCACACTTTATATTTAGCGGCAACCAAAGCGGATGCATCCTTCTCATCGTAGAATGATTCTGTGACTGTGAACGACTTGTCTTTTGAAAAGTAGCGCCTTTACAAAAACAAACACTTTTTAACATTATCCATGAAAACATGGCTTTCGCTCAAAAAATCAGTATACGGTATCCGTCTAAACTGCTACGTCATAGGACGCACTAAAAATATTCATTAAAATAGGAATAAAAATTGATTTAAAATCAGGATAAAACTGCAGAATACGACTCCTCGAAGGGCTTTATATTATTAAAGATCTAACTTCAAGGAGTCATATTTTTATTTTTCTCAAGATAAATTTCTTTAAATATAACCAAGAACACTTTTTTTTAAAATTTACTCCAGTTCGCCGTGTAACGGTCCAGCATCATCCCTCCCTTATCTCATCAATTTCCGGTCAGGTTACCCCTTGTTCCTCTGCCACAAGAGAAAAAAAAGAACTACGGCACGTCAAACGTGTTTACTAAAAATTTATTGAACTTCGAAAAAATAATAGAAAACGTGCACCAATCAGAAATGAATGTATTTTATCCAACCACTTCATAAGACTTCCAGCTGTACAGTATATGGAATGTACCTTCCGACGGCTCATCGGTCGAACCCGTTTACGAGGCAATTAACGAACCGTTTAGCCAGTAAACTTTTTAACGCCGCGAATTAACCCCATGAATAGCCCCATGCAATTCCCAAGTGTCCCTACAGTAGCCCCCATAGCTCGTACACGTGTTATACGCCGCTCGCCTATCCGACAAAGTGATAAATAAGCTTAGAGCCTGAACAATTAACGTATTCCCGATCCTGCGTGGGCGAATTGAACGAATCCTGATACCAACAAAATCCACCAAACGACCACTATCGTACAGTAATCCAAAAAGTAATACCAAATTACGCTTGCGAAAAAATTGTCCAGGCATAAAAAAAATCAAAAATACCTATTTTCACAAAACAATATACATTTGAAAATTGAAAATATTTTTGTTCTACTCATTTTTCCAAAATCAATTTTTCTTCTTCAAAACATTCCTTATATTCGTTTCATTAACTTCGTAAGCCGTCAGATTGACTCGCGTGCTGACTATAACATATGGACATATACGTATACATATATTCGTGAATAGCACTTGCCGATTAATACCCAAGGCACGTACGGGTAGCGCGTTACTTTGCATGCAACCGCGGTGGCATTTAAATAAGAGCAATGAAAACGATCGCGAAACGCGAATGAGATTATTTCGCAAGTATTCGAAGTGCGCACGGTGGCATAAAGAATAATAAAAGTATCGCATAAATGATATTAACCGTACCAAGTAATATACAGATCGAAACAGTAGCGGCACTATGTTAAAGTGCATCTCGTACGCATTAGAATAAATAGAGCCTGTCATTAGGAAGTAGTATCGCCATAAGAATTCCAAGAAAGATCATCCCGATGGATTATTGATTAATCTCAATGACCGTTCCTATCGGAGAGACTATAAATTGAAAAAAAATCAAAAATGAACCCGCAGCACAATAACTTTAAACGCGGCACTCGATATTACGAAAAATCCATAAAAATGTTTTAAAAAATCGAAAAATTTTTTTTCTGAGATTAGGTCAACATTTCAATTTATTAAATACACAACGTACTCGAAATTTACGTACACGGGTGCCATATGGCAATTAATTAAATTCATACCAATTAAAAGACCGCCTCCCGTCACACGGCGTCGCTTTAGCGATCGATTAATCATCCAGCCTCCTTTCTTTGGGGTCCATGCCGAAAAACCACCAAACGAAAATATTGTTCCGGGAAACCTCTTGAGCACACGTATCCGCACCTTGCTTACTCCTAGGCATTGGAGAGAGACGATCCATCACTATTAACGTGCCGCCTAGTCGAGCCTGGCCAGGCTGCCGGGCAAGCACATAGGAGACGCGGCTGGTATTATAGGTTGGCGGTATAGACCGAGATAGAGAGAGAGACTGAATATTGGGGATCGAAATCAGTGGGAGAGAGAGGGAACGGTCGTTCGTTCTTCTACGCCTACGTTTGAGCAAATGAATGAGCGTCCCCACCAATTATACGCCTGCGCGTATTGCCTAGTAGTAAAACGTGCCGAGTTGGTTATATATATATATATATATATAATATAGTGTACATAAGAGATGAGCAACAGAGAGAGGAACGGCTGTTCTATTTTGAACGAACCTCCAAGGAATCGATCATTCACTCCGCTCCCTGAGTGTATCGCTGATTAATCTAGTACGGATAACTCATCGTTTGTTACGCCATTTTGTTTCTTTAAGACTGATCAGTCTTGTCTTATTGTCAGGCTGTTTAATCTTTATCGGACTCTTGGAGTGGTATAGTCGGTCCACGTGGTCGATGCGCTTTTTTGACAGATCGTAAACAATGAGGTATCTGACAGGACCACGTGTCGTTGTATACAATGTCTTTTTTTTTTGCAAAGGTGAATATGCATGGTTTTAAAGTGACCGTACTTTTTTTCTTCAGTGTATATTTATGTTGTTTTTTTTTATGTAAAACCAAGTGTTTTCTTTAAGTCTGATTTGTTTGGATTTGAGTTTATTTGTTTGTCCTTTTTTTATGGTGTTTGGTCTGTTTGTGATTTTTTTGGGTATCTAGCGACATGGGCGTACTGGGTTGCGGTCGTTCTACGTTCAAATTGACTTTTACTATAGTTTGGCTATACACTTGGCATGTAGGTAGATACTTACCCTTTGCGAGAGAGAGTGAATTGTGCATCGCCATGGGGTTCCCTTTATGTTCATTCATGCTCGACTTTCTTGCACGGCCATTTTATTTCTGTGACGTGTTCTTTGAGCATTTAATAATAGTCACCTCTGCGGACAGTTTCTTACGCGTCTTTATACGCTTGAATGGAATAGTCCCGTGTAGCCGGGAAATGGGTACCGTATATGAAATTACGTATGGGACCCATTAGAAATTTTTTCAAACAATAAGCAGCATTGTCATATCAAAATCTCGTCAATCCGTAGGAACAATTTGTCAATGGATTTTTTCAGGAAAATTATAAAATAAAAAACAGTGACTCGATGGACAAAAAAATTTTGGACCTTGGTTAAACGATGAGAAAAAAAAAATTTTTGGTAAAAACAAAAACGTACTTTACCGAACTCCAGGGATTAAAGAGAGAGTGCCCAAAGTGCGCGGCGACCCTTTAAAAAAATAACGTAACGTTATTTTTACACCGGATTTAAATGGGGCCCGCTCGGTTATTTCGTGAAAACTTAATGGGCCCTTCGCGAATGGGCCTCACGGCAGCTCGTACGCGCCTGCGATTCTCTTCCTGAAATAAAAGTCCGATTTCGGTGTTTTACACCCTGCCTCTCAGACGTGCAGGCGTCGTGAGGCCCCGCGGCTGGGCCTTACGCGCAAATCTTTACGATCGGCGCGCGTGCAAGACTTCCGCCACATTTGGGACCTTTTACGATCCTAAAATCGTAGGCCCCGTGTGCGGCTTCCATACGTGAGTCCCCGCGGCTCGACAACACAGAACTCGGGGCCCGGTCCTGCGGTTTTTTTATTTTTATTTTTTTTTTTTATTTTTTTTTTATTAATACCCTCGCGTCTCATTGTCACGCTTCCACTCGGGCCCATTCATACTCCCTGCACTTCACAGACCCTGTTCCACCCATATTTTTTCTTCTTGCCTTGCCGACACTGAAAACTTCTTTTTTTTCTTCTTCAACAGGCATTAGCCGCGTACGCGACTCTCTCTAACATCCTTCGGGATTTATCGTCACGATTCGGGCCAGCTCGGCTATTAACGACGCGTAATCCCTGTTTACAGGGACGCATTATATACGACGACAGGGGCCCCTTATGTCGGATAACTCGTGCAAAGTAGTATCGCTGTAACATTTAAGTCTAAGGGATCTTACAACTTTGTTGTGGAACCGAACGAATTATTACCAACCCCTGGGCACTTCAGTCAGTTAACCCTTATTTCTTGCTCCATCCTTCATTCACTAATCCCACGTTATAACTTCATTTTTATGCCACATATTGATATTCGATATTCCGTTTACGTGCAGCTGCCACTCTGTCCTCTGTTGACTTACCGTATGTATGGTATCTATAGGTATACCTGCACACAGTACATAGAACATGCATATATATATATATATAATGTACTCAGGTATTTCATATCTTGTAAAGTTGGTATTTACGTACTGAGCATGAAAAGAAGAAGCCACGATGATATTTTTACGGGTGTCTGCACTTTGGAGTACAACCTTTCATGATATACAGGTATATACCTATATCCACTCTGCTACTATGTATATGTATATATATACATCGGCGTATGTAGTATATGATATATATATATATATATATATATATACATGCATCTATAATGGTCGCTTTGCTCTCTTTTGCAGCCGTTAAGCTTCTCGTCTGGAACGTGTCGGATTCCACTTGGCAATCCCCACGTTTTTTTCTACAGGGAGTACCACCCTAACAAATCTCTCGGGGGTTACTCATTATCGAGCAGTTATGTGTTTGAAAAGGCGTAACGAGGATTCCGCTCGAGGTGGTCGAC